CGTCGTATGTACGGCCGACATTTGTTTAAACAAACATGGCTGCACATACAATGCTGAATCTATAGTACAGTTTATTTTAATACCTCAAGCACAGTCCCTCTATCCCTCTATAGAGAGACTGTGCCTCAAGCCTGTTGTCTCTCTGTCATGGTTACAGGACAGTCCCTCTATCCCTCTATAGAGGGACTGTGCCTCAAGCCTGTTGTCTCTGTCATGGTTACAGGACAGTCCCTCTATCCCTCTATAGAGGGACTGTGCCTCAAGCCTGTTGTCTCTGTCATGGTTACAGGACAGTCCCTCTATCCCTCTATAGAGGGACTGTGCCTCAAGCCTGTTGTCTCTGTCATGGTTACAGGACAGTCCCTCTATCCCTCTATAGAGGGACTGTGCCTCAAGCCTGTTATCTCTCTGTCATGGTTACAGGACAGTCCCTCTATCCCTCTATAGAGGGACTGTGCCTCAAGCCTGTTGTCTCTCTGTCATGGTTACAGGACAGTCCCTCTATCCCTCTATAGAGAAACTGTGCCTCAAGCCTGTTGTCTCTCTGTCATGGTTACAGGACAGTCCCTCTATCCCTCTATAGAGGGACTGTGCCTCAAGCCTGTTGTCTCTCTGTCATGGTTACAGGACAGTCCCTCTATCACTCTATAGAGGGACTGTGCCTCAAGCCTGTTGTCTCTCTGTCATGGTTACAGGACAGTCCCTCTATCCCTCTGTAGAGAAACTGTGCCTCAAGCCTGTTGTCTCTCTGTCATGGTTACAGGACAGTCCCTCTATCCCCGGTCTGGAAACGACTAGCCTTCTTTTGTCTCGAATCGCCGTGCGAGTAAACAAACCGTTCACACCCGGGTCGAGGGAGTCAGACAGATTACAATACCGTCAAAATATTCATTAAACTCGGAAAATTTACCGTCATGCAAAGCGATACTTCATTGTATGACTTCACTTTGACTTCAAATTCGGGCAACCACAACGTAAACAAACATGTAAACAAAATTATCACTTTGAAATTTGGGTTTTTTGAATCCTGATACGCATCACAACCAGCCTACCAACTTATAAACATCCAGTTCGGGAATTATGTTCATTTTCTCGTTTTAATAGGGAAAAACTTCGCGTGCCAACATGCTGACATCGCTAAGCAAATCTTGTCAAAATGGCGTCGTTCATGTTAACGTAGTCGATCGACGAATCTGTGATATTTCTGATTCTTGGGGGGTTCATAACAGTTCAAGTCAACTATACAACAACTAATGACTTAATTCTATGCAAATGTATATAATAATGCTTCAATGTTTGTATATAAATGATTTTTTTAGCACATAATTGAGTACATTGTCATTTCAAAACGTCGCATTTACAATCTGAAAAGCATCCATAAAAGTCGCTCAATTTAACATTAATAAAATGCGGTATGACAAATAACAAGTCAGCCCACCAATTTTTAATGATATGTTTCGATCATAAAATGTCAAAATCGAAGACAAATATTGGTTTCGCGCCGAGAAGTATGGTAAATAAAATAGAGTTCATTTCAATCACCCCAAAATCAAAAACGACAAATAATTGGGTAAAGGTATACAAATTTAGATAAATTAAAGAACTACTCGCCGGCTAAAATATGACCTTATGCAGATATCTTGATTAAAAAATTATGTAAAAAAGCACGAATTCTGGAATAAACAATTAAATTGTAAAAAAAATACATAACACTGACGATGTCAAAAATAGTGCCGGCTGCGTACTGATCACGTGACAATGCTTTGCCCATTCCCTCAATGCGTCTTTGTCAGGGAAGGAGGCCAATTCACACCTAATACAATGACCGAAATTTGAACGACGACCACAGCACTGAAGCGCACACAAATCACGAATATGATGTTGGGTGTTGTCAGTAAAACAGCTGGACATGCGTGTGATCAATCCTCGGGGCGGAGCTACGTCACAAGACGCTCCACGTATTTTTACGGGCTCTGCGCGCTGCTGAGGAACGCGGAACGCCGGGCGGAGAGCCTGTGAAAAATCGAAAAAACAACAGGAACTCAACTTTGAAGTAACCCTGAACAATCAAATTGATATGCCTTACACACGCAGGGTTAATCTTGTTACACTAGTACTGTTCAGGGGAGTCTCAACAATCATCCCCTAATAAAGTGCCGTTTTCTGAGAGTTTTCGGCCTTTGTTTTCACCGTGTTGGATGCCATGCGGGGAAAATGCTCGGATGTCCGGCTCCACACTCCAAACACTGGTGGCGCCCTCACTTCCGTTCCTCTCGTTCAACTAAAGACGGTTATTTAGGTATAATTTGCACTGTCAAGACAAAGTTAAAAAAAAAGTGAATTATTTGTTAAAAAAAGTGGAGATAAATTTACACGCAAAAATCGTGACGTCGATTTCACGCATGCAATGCAGCGTCATAGAAATGTTCAACAAGACACGTACATACACCTTTCGATGACGTATATTATTTTGCCAGCCAGCCGAGGACGCCGTACATACATTGTACTATAGGTAAGAGCTCTTGCCCTTTTCCACAAATTTAAATATATTCTTAACAATTGCTTTACCTCTAAAACTCTGCACACCATGTAATGATTTTTCAGTGCTTTGAACTAAACGACTTCATCGCAAGAATGGCATTGGTAAAATGATGACCTCGGATGTAGCCATGTCTAGGGCATGGTTATGATTTATAGTTTTTGCCCATTAATGTAAAGTTATAGTGTCTATGAAGTATACGATCATGATTAATCTCCATGATCACTGGGACCACGCCATTGATTTTTTGGCCCACTACAATTTTCTTGTCATTTAGGCTGATTTTTGAAATGGTGCCACAGTTCTTGTCACTCACCTCAACCTGAAATTCAATGTGTTGCCATTTGTTATTAAGGCCAAATTTTATTTTTATGGAAATGAGTTACCTTTTTCTAAAATGAACAAAAGTCGATATTAATATCATCATGTCAAAAAACAATTGTTTAAAATGATTGTATTTGATGTAGACTGAACATGTTGGGGGGAAAAAATCCCTGCCAAACTACCCAGTATTTGGCCTCATAATGGTTTGAGATCTTTTTAACATGGTCCACATAAATATTGAGGGATGAACTGAGATTCTGTACAAACAGGTCCATGCATTTACATTCTATGTTTCTGGTTTGATGTTGACTCATTTACAGCCGTGCCATTGGTGATACCAGGTTTTTACTTTCTATAGCGTGTGTGTGGGTTATCTTATGCAAACCAACAATGCTGTCTCCGTGTCTTTACACATGGTCAATTCACTCCCGTTATATGTCAGATGGCACATTGTCATGCGATAAAATTCATGGTCACGGTTCTAGAAGCCGTACCTACACACGAATTGCCGACGTCACAAAATACAAGATTCAATCGGGGTCGTTTCCTCGATATATACGAATTGGTATATACAAATTACAATAAAGATACTTAAGACATTACACAGGTAAAACAAATCACGTGACAATATAATGATAATGACGGTAATAAATCCTAGCTTAACAGTTGAACAGAACGATGATATAGTCAGTCGGGTCACGCCAAGGGTCAC